TCTATATGGTGGTAAACCAAATCCTGTATAATTTTCTTTTATATGTTTCAGCTTCATTCTCTTTAAGGCTGTGCCTGGACTGAACATCCATTCAAACAAACACACAAACCAAGAACACTGAGAGTTTGTGAGAAAAGACTTGGCTCGTTACAGTTCACTACCCTCCCCTCAGCACTCCTCTACCTCCCCTTGTTCTTTTGCCCTTCCCCTCCCCTCTCCTCCTCATCCCTCTCCCACTGGGAGTCCAACAGTTTGCCGCTTTCGCTCAGGTTCACCAGGCACTGCTTGTTCAGTTCATGCCTATGTGCAGCTACCATATTTTTGTAACAAGGTCTTCTTTAATGCAGTTTTTATGTCGTAATGTGGTCTATGATCTATATGAAAAGCTGAGATAAGTACCCCGTGTCTCAGTAGTGGACCTGAGCTTGGCCCAGAATATGCCATTTCATCCACTTGTGTGTTGGAAAGTTTCAGCTGCCAAATGGTTAGAATTAGTTGCTAATTATTTTAAACAAAGAAGTCATTCATTCCACTTATTTGAAACATAAGACGCTGGACTGTGAGGTTATCCCACCTGTTACACAATCATGATGTCATGGCAGTGCAGTTAGGAAAAAGTGACTCCAACGCAAACCTCAGTCCACTTTATTGCTATGACATGTAGTCTGCCAAATCACTATATTGGATGTTTGTGTGCTGACACACCCTGGGCTCTGTTCTAGTGAAATACAAATTGCAAGCAAGAGGGTCTCAGTACAGTATGACATCTGCTTTGGCTATTGTTCTGTCTGCAGCTGCCTGCTTTCATTTGTTTTTTCATCTCCAAATCAGCTTTGTTTTAAAGTGAAAATAGCACATTGCACACCAAAGCAGTGAATATTATGGATATTTCTTAGCTTTGTGGCTCACTAAATCACTTGAAGATGTTCAAATACCGCAGCCGTGACCCCAGCACATCCAACTACTGCCACTCTCACTTGTTCCTCAAGGCTGTAAGTTGTTTGCATGCAAACAAGGTCTATACAAAGGATGTGTGCTGCTGCTGAATGAGGCTTCTGTTCTGTTTAATAAAGCGGCTGACAGCTTCGGCTTGTAAAATTAAAAAAATTGAAGCTTTATGAGGCTTTGGTGAATATATGTGATGCAATAGAAGTAAAGTATGGATTATTTATGCAAAGGCTACATTCATGACACAGTACATTTTTATCAGTGTTTCCTTGAGCAGAATTTTTATGATCCCTCACTGACATGGTTGTGCTTTTCCAGGTCCCATAAAATATAAAACAATGTGCTTTCAATATTATGTTCCCAACCTGTACCTGCTGGATGATCCTACTTGGTTTCCAGTGCAGATCTTCAGCAGTAGAAAGGGGAAAAAATCCAAATGATGCAGCACTAACATTTAAGACATTTTTAGGTTGGTTTGGTCTTGATTTAAAGGATAAATCCTTCACTTCGAAAGGCAGATGGCACTGAAAATATAAAGCCATGTGGTGGCGAGGAGGAAGGCTGGTGTTGTTTGGTTCAGCTGACCTCACTCACTGAGCTGCTCTGTCTCTGGATAGCAGATGTTCGCTGGGAGTGTGTGTATGCATTTCATAAGGGAGTTGAGGCCTGAGTAGCCAGTCAGGGTCAGCCTGGGTCTCAAGCTCTTCATTTAGCAGCTTGCCAGGAGACGCTGCCGAGCTGAAAGAATGTGTGAACACTGCCCAGTTTGTGATTTAAAGGCTGCCCAGGGTTTTGCCTCGGCCGCTGTGATACTATTTATACCGGTAGCTATCCTGCCGTGGCTGAATAAGCTGGGAAACATCAGCAGATTTTTCATCCCAAAGCCCAGGAAAAACGCCAGTGCTCTGGGAGCAGACACTGTTGTTTTTTCAAGCTCCTGTTCACAGAAATTCAAGCATGGGAGAGAGTCTTCACAAGTTTCAGACAGCGCCTAATGAATGTTTTCTTTCTTCTCTGCCTTTTCCCAAAAGGATTTCGGAAGATACAAGTCTTTTTTAATCACATTTATTCTTGTCTGCGGCCTACAAAAACAACAAAATATATTCTCTCATAGGACATAACGCTGTAGCTTCTTTCATACACATAATACATCATTCATAGCACACACAAACACACATAGAAAGTTGATACTGTGTTCATTACTGGCCTAATTAGGCTTTTTATCTGATACATGTGGTGGCACACTATCGGGGCTCATTACCACCATCAGTACTGATCCTGCTGAGGCTTATCACAAAAGTCTGAATCCTTTCCCTCTCTCTTTATCAGGGGTGTAACAAAAAAATATATCCAGTGAACTGTCTAGATAAATGTTCAATCTATTAACAGCATGTAAAAAACACACCTCACCAGACAGAAGGTTACAGCATCGTGCAGTGGTTCATTCATCATGATGAGGCAGCAGGTTTGTGTTGCTGTGGTCTCTGTATTGATACAAGTAATTTCCATTAAATGAATAATGAAGGAGATGCAGATAATGAGCACTTTGTTGACATTATGACGGGGACAGCATGCTGCTAGCTGCTCATTTGAAGATAAAGAAGAGGAAGAACTACTTTGTTAATCCCCTTTGGGAAATGTAAGTTTTTCCCTCTGTTGTTATTTTCCTACATTCACAAACACAAGCCACAGATTCACACACAAACAATGCTCAATGGCACCTCAGCAGTGTCCAGGAGATGAACTGGCCTCTCTCCAGCTATCAGTCCACGCTCTGTACCTCCTGGTCCGACTGAGCTACTGCCGTCCCTAAAGCATTGTGAAAACACACACTGTTACACTGATACCAATGTAAAGGAGCGTGGACTTCACAGCATCACTTTATTTTAGATTGTACATTTGTTTATGTGTGGGGATACCACTAACAGTGCTGATCCCTAACTGGAAATGCTACAATCCAAATCCTCATCCTCCCGCTACTACCACTAATACTGCAACCGATAATAATCACAGTCAAGTGCATTTTAATTTCATTGTTTGTTCTTTTCCCTTCTACAGTACATTGAGCCGTGCTGTTGCCGATCCTTGAATGTTTAGGCTTTATATTTACATGGTATTTTCAATTTACAACAGATAAAATGTTAATGTAGTCCTATTGTTGTAATTTGATTTACCAATTACAGCTGGGCAAATCATGTGTGTCCAGATCTTTCACATAGAACATAAAAATACATTACAGACATTTACAAAGAAACACACACTAAACCACACTCCCACTGTGATACTGCATCATTTTCACACAGCTGAGTACTTCTCCTATCTCCACCTTAAGAAAGAGACTGCTAGTGGTGCTGTAATGAAGATGCTGCTTTTAAGTGCTGTCAGAAATATTTGGATTATGTACAGTTTGTACTGAACTGGATTAATCAATTGCGCAAATGATGGGAAAATGGATTTAGATTTTTTTTAGCATTTTGTCTCATTTATGTGAGTTATGTTTCAATTCTCCATTTAACATAGGTGTCACATGTGTAGCCATGTTTGGAAAATAAGTTTTTACTCTGAGGATTTGTAACTTACTGCTGCTAACAAGATCCATCAATCATCTATTAACACCTTCTTCACATGATCATAACTGCAACAAAGTGTGATGATCCCCTCTGTGAATCATTGTCTCTATTTAGATGGACACAAGAAACCAATAATAAAATAGGGTACTGGAGAAAGAATACAAAGTTGTTTATATACACTGCAAATATAATAGTATGAAACCAGTTGGTCAGTACTCATGAACAAACATGAACCATTATACCAACCATTATAAGACATGTCACTACAAGAGAGAAATAATGGAAAACAGTTAATGAGAAGAGTTTTTAATTTAGTCTGGCATGTGTTTTCTTAAAGCCACTAAACCCTGTTGATGTTGATTCTGGCAGCCCCCGTGGTCAAAAATCGATAGTTCTCCAATCGCCTTTGTTTAATTTATATAGGGGGATCCAATATTGACCTGGTGGCAAGCAATTAGAATAACTGATGTAATAGGATAAACAGTTCTGCAATTGGTTTTGTTTAATTATGTAGGTCATATAAAGGCATCAGTATTAAACTGTTTCATAACCAAAAAACTACTTGTAGTACATTTAATCTTCAAGACTCCTTGATAAACTATGTTGAATAATTTAGCAGTTTTTTCTTTTTACAGATCTGCTCTTTTTTATGTTTTAAAAAAATGCATTTAATGCAGGGTTGCCCGAGAATATAAAATCACTGTTTTATTTATTGTGAGGCAAAAAAAAATGCTCTTTAAATATGTAGGATTCCTCATTATCTTTCATAATCTGGGCATAGCATGCAGAGCACACTTTGCACAGGAAGTCAGTCAATTAAGGGAACTTGGGATCATTTTTACAATACAATAGGTGTTTGCTTTTTGGTCCCTGACCCAATATTATGTTTCAGTTTTGGCTGTACACAGTTAAAAAGGTTTGGTCACTTCTGATTTAAGGTAACAAACCAAATGTCCCACACTAGTAGCAGTGTTTGCAAACGTTATTGAGACACTGTGAGATAATGTTTTCTACATTTAAATAGCATTACATACACATAAACCCCTTTTTATGAGGCGTTAAAACGATTTCAATTGACTGGTGAAAACTTTGAGGCACTTGAGGACTCATAACTAAGAAGATCTAATAGTTTACGAGAAGCACTTGAAGGCAGCACAAGCACACGCCTTCCGTGGATCCTGATTGGCTCTCAATTACTAGCCGGTGCTCCCCATTGGCTGCTGCCCGTCCATTGAATCCCCTCCTCTACCTTTGTCAATTTCTTGCGCTCCCGTTGAAAACGCCTGGCTGTTGTTTGCCCGGGTTAGAGGAGGAAGAAGTTGTCCACCTCCCCCCTTTGCTCTGTCTGAGGATTGGGAACACCGAGGGAAGCCAGCAGACTCTCGCCGAGGAAGCTTCACTGTCTCCTGTGACCAGACGGACGGGGACCGGTGGAAGTGAATGGGAAGAGAGAGAGAGAGAGAG